ACACACACACACACACACACACGCACACGCACACATACGCACACACACGCACGCACACACACGCACACACACCGTCCATGTGCCCTCGCATGCCCCCCGTCTGACACCAAGATTCCGGCCGCGTATGCCGGCAGATCCGCATGTCCAAGTCCACTGGCGTGCATTTCCTGTCGGCCTTCTCCAACAGCCGGCCGGTCATCGAAGACTGTTCTGCGGTGATTGTCGGCCCGGCCCCGGCTGCATGTGGCCCTCCTCCGCCAGCCGTCGGAACTGATGATGCCAATGCTGTCGCTGATGCCACCATCACCGCTCTGCCAGGGCTCGGGCACTTGGCACCTCTGGCCAGCCAGGATGCCTGGGAGGAGGCCATGCGTCGCGCGGTTGCCTGCACCAGCGCCAGCTCCACCCTGCTCAGTGTTAATGACTTCTGTTGGATGCAGGCCGATAGACAATCGCCCAATTGGGCTCGTGCGGATGCCGCCACCCCTTCAAGTCCCCTGACGGAGGGGTCCGCCTTCATCCGGCTCCTGGCGGCCTTGCCACCCCCCTAAAAGCACATCCCCGGCCCTGCCCGGAAAATAGACATCGCTGAAAGGGGCAAAAGCAGACAAACACATTGGATTGGCGAAGCAGAACAGCACAAGTTCAGGAAGTGTATGGCGGGGAGAAGAGCTGCATGGCTGGGCGGATGCACCCCCCGCGGCGCAGGAACGCCCGAGGGAGGGGCAGGAAAATGGACAACGCCAATGCCCGGAGGAGCGCGCCGGGAGGGGCGCCACAGGCCACCTTACTTCAGCTCGAAGGGCTGCCCCGAGTTGTTCAGATAGGCCTGATACTGCGGAGCATTGACGTCCACCTTGCGGCGATGCTCGACCGCCTTGTGGATGGGCACATGGACGAACTCGCCGTTCACCTTGCCGATCAGGAGGTTGGTCTTGCCAGCCAGGGCAGCATGCACGGCATTGTGCGCCAGCAGGGTGCAGAAGAGCGCATCATTCGGGTTGGCCGGGGCCGCGCGAATCATGTACGACGGGTCAATGTACTTGATGGATGTCTTGATGCCGCGCGCGTCGAGCCCCTTGGCAATTTCCTCCTTCAGGAAGAGGCCAATGTCCAAATGGCGAACATTGCCACTGGGATCGCGCTCACGCTCGCCGGACATGAGGTTTTGCCCGGCCCCCTCGGACACGACAATCAGGCAATGCGGCTGCATCGGGATCGGATGCTGGTGCGGCAGGCTGCAGTTGGCCTGGCTGGACAGGGCAGCCGAGGCACCGGCCGGCGCATCCGGAACCAGGTCCAGATCGGCCGGCGTATCGCCAAAGGGCCAGGCCTTGTTCGGGCGCTCGATCGCACAGCCGGCGGTATCCTGGCCCGGGCGCCCGCGCAGACGCGACTCCAGGTAATCCAGCAGCCACTCCATCTTGAAGGTGACCTCCGGCAGCAGCAGGACATTGACATCGGCCGAGGCCAAGGCCGCGTGCAGGGCAATGAAGCCCGAATCGCGACCCATGAGCCGGACAAGGCCAATGCCATTGCGATAGCCGCGGGCCTCCTCGTGAGCCGCATTCAGCGCACTCTGGGCCAGCTCCACGGCCGTGTCGAAGCCGAAGGAACGCTCCACATAGAGCAGGTCATTGTCGATGGTCTTGGGCACGCCCACCACCGACAGGGGATACCCCCGAGCACGGGCCTCCTCATGGATGGCAGCCGCGCCCTTTTGCGTGCCATCACCACCGATGGTGAAGAGCATCTGCACATTGTGCGCCTGCAGGAAGTCCACCATGTCGGTGATGCTCTGCCGGCCGCGCGACGACCCGAGGATCGACCCGCCCAACTTGTGGATGTCCTTCACCGCGGCCGGGGTCAATTCCACCACCCCGCCGAGGGTGCCATCCGGCCGGAGACAAGACTCCGGCCGAGCCAAGGACATGCCATCATAGCCATACGGGATGCCGATCACCCGGCGAACCCCATACCGGTAGTAGCAGCAGAGGGCAATCGCACGGATGACATTGTTCAACCCCGGGCACAGGCCACCGCAGGTGACAATGGCCGCGGTGGACTTGGCTGGGTCGAAGAAAAGCTGATCCCGCGGGCCGGCCTTCTCCAGGAAGCAGGGGACGGCGTGGTCCTCGCGCGAGGCCGCCAGCTCCGGGCTGTAGCCGGTCGAGGAGCCGCTGGTTTGGGCCACCGAATGGCCGGTGCCGCTGTTGGTGCAATCCGCCCCGGAGGCCGAGGTCAGCAGGACCGTGGCATCCAGCAGCACACCGTCGGCCAGGTCGCGCACTCGAGCCACGCCGCGGTCCAACGGCGAGGGGACCGTCCGCTGGCCGAGGTGATCCACGCGGAAGGAGTCCGTGTCGAGGGAGAACTGGGTCTGGGTGGCGCCCAGAGTGTAATGAAGGGGCATGGTTGGGGGAGAGAAGGGGAGGAAAGGAAGGAGCGGGCAGGCGGGGGGG